GGAGTGATAAATAGCAGTGGACGCTCGGACCTGGGATTTTACTATAGTGCTATAGGCTATATGCTGTGTATAGTGAGAGAGGCGGGCAAAAGTAACCTGATGTAACTGTTCACTTTTTTTTTTCCTTTTAGCTTCTCCCAACCGCCTTTATCTTCACGTCTTTTGCTTGCCATCACGAGCCCACTCTCCTTCGCGTCAGTTTCGGATTCTTATAAGCAAAAATAGATCGCATTAGCCACCCTTTTGTCGGCTGTCAATGTCACTTAATCTGACACTTTTTTTTTGATGATGAATCAGCCAGGCCGACAGCCGTCGGATGGACGGCCGTTCTGGACTTCTCTCAATGCTGGTTCCTCCAGAGCGGGACCACTAGGAGAACCTTGTGTCCTTGCTCCCTGATTCGCCTGATTACCTGAGGGATCAGAGCGATCGTGGGAAAAGCATAAAGGAGGAGGTTTGGCCAGTCGTTGAAAAAAAAATTGGGCAATGAGAGTTGTCTTCTTAGACGAAGAGGTCGACCTCTGCATTCCAAAAGATCTGTAAACTGTTTGCAGATGGAGCATCCACTCTTCTGAAGGGATGTTGCTCCAGGACAGCATGTCTGCTCCTTGGTTCAACCTGCCCGGCACATGCGTTGAGCTCGTTCCAAGAGGCGCTCCACCAGAATGAAGAGGCGCCTCGAGGAGAGCCCTCCCTGGCGATTTACATAGGACACCACCGTCATGCTGTCCGAGTAGACTAGAACGTGGTGGCCATTTAGGTCTGGCAAAAAGGCCTCGAAACACTGCCAGCATTTCCAGGCAGTTGATGTGTAGCCGGCCTTTCTCTTTCGACCACGAGCCAAAATCCGGTTTGCCATCGCTTAGAGCTCACCAGCCCTTGTTGGACGCATCTGTCGAGACAACCTTCCTTCTGCAGACCATTCCCAGGGCCACGGCCTGATCCATCCACTTAGTGTCTTTCCAAAGGGCCAGAGCTGCCGCACAGGCCTGGTCCACCTTGATATACAGGCGTCCGTGACGCCAAGCGTGGAACGGAACTAGTGGTTTCAGCCAGTACTGAAGGGGCCGCATACGAAGCAGGCCCAGCTGTAGCACTGAAGATGCAGAGACCATGAGGCCCAGCATCTTCTGAAACGTCTTGAGGGGGCGAGAGGCTCCAACTTTGAAGGAGTCAAACCTTGAACGGCCGTTTCATGAGTGCGTGGTTCAGGTGCCTGAGATTGAGGATGGGCCGTATGCCGCCATCCTTTTTGGGGACGAGGAAGTAAAGGCTGTAGAAGCCTGACTCACTCTGAGCTGGGGGAACCATCCCTACGGCTCCTTTTGCCAGTAAATTCATTACCTCGGAACGCAAGACGTGTGCGTCTTTGCTCTGTACCATGGTGGGAACCACGCCGCTGAAACGTGGGGGTCTTTGAGTGAATTGAAGTGAGTTACCTCGTTTTATTATTCTCACACTCCAGTCTGACACTCCAGGGATGGCCTGCCAGGCCTCGGCCTATGTGACAAGGGGTTGGATTGGTTCGAGTAGTGAGTCACCTTGAGGGGACTCAACACTCATGATAAGCGGAAATGACGATAAGAGGAAATTTGCTCTCTTTTCGAGTATGTTTGTTTTTTATTTTGCTCGCTATCGCAGCAAGGTTATTTGGGCGCTTGAATAGGCCCAGCATCCACAACAAACACATTTCCTTCAACACCCGGAACTGAACGCGGTGTTCGGAGGTAGAACCGCGGCTGCTTGGGGGGGTGGTCAGGCTGCAGCGGGACTTAACCCCCTCCTCTTCCTGTCCCGCAGATCAGGACAATGCCGGAGGCGCCGGGTCCAGCGTTAACTTGGGCCGGGGTCCCTGGCGCTTGGGAAATGGGTAGCTTCTAGCCGAGCGGGAGCGCTGTCGAGGCTCATGCTTGGAAGATGGCTGGGCCACTGGAGGTGCAGGCTTTGCGGGCTGCTGAGTCGGCGCAGACTTGGGGCAACTGGAAGCAGCTGCAGAGCTGGGGCGCTTGGGTAAGAAGTGTTGCATCGCTTGGGACGACTTCCGTGCAGTGGTGAAGTGCTCTGCGAAACCTTTGAGCCTCTTTAAAATTTGCTCTTTTAAATATTGCCGGATGGCGGCAGGGGATCGTAGAAGCCGCAGCTGCTACAGATGCTGAAGGTGGCTTGTGAGAGTGGTGAATCAGCCAAGCAAAGATGTCTTGATCCGCTGCAAGGCTTGTCAACGGCGAAGGCTTCGACTCTCGTAGAGTGAAGATCGTGGTTGTTGCTCATGGAGAAGAAATCTGAGGATCCTATGCCAGAATGCCTGCTTATATAGCCAGATGGCCCCGCCCGTATTGGTGGGCTTCGTGGCCATAGGCTTGTGCGGCTTCACTGACTCCCCCTTGGTTTGTTTTATTTTCACTGCACAAACCAATGGCCATGCAGTTATACTGCGTTATTAAAAAAGGCTTCAGTATCGGAGAAAAAAGGTCTTCTTCCCATTTCATCTAGCGACACAGTACGAGTGTAGTATCGAAAGGGAACCTGAATGTCACGATCACCAGCTGGAATGCCCTTGATAGCCACTAGAGGGCAATCCATCCCATACCATTGCCAGTCTGTCATGTTCCCCACAATCTTTTGTGCAGACTCATCAGCACTCATTGTTTTCACCTATGTCTCATTAACCCTATTTGCTTGCCTTATAAAAGTCTGGTTCAGTCAGTCATTAAATTGTGAAGTCTTGTATTTGTCATTACTGAATTTCCAAGCCTTGTATCCTGGTTTTTGTTCTCTGCCTGTTATTCTGGATTACTCTGTTAGCCTCATCCCTGAACTTAATTCTTGGTTTGGAATTGTCTGCTTGCTAATGACCTTTGCTTATTTTTGGACTACGATTGTGAATTACCCCTTCAATAAATACTCTCTCTCTCTCTCTCTTTATATATATATATATATATATATACATATATATATATATATATACATACAGTGGAGGTCTATTTAATGATAATTTGGAGATAATAATAATATAATTTTCTGTTTCTTTGTTTTTATGTGTGACTGGAAATTTCAAGCACACTCCCCAAAGTCTCAGGTAAAGCACTTGGCATCCTCATTGTATACTAAAATTTCTCTCTTTTGATTGGATAGTGATCTGGTTAGTTTCAGTATCCTTTGATAGTCTTTTCAGTTCATACATGCCTAACCTGACATTTTTCAGGTGTCCAACTTAAATCGTTCTCGTCATTATTGGAAATTATGGTGATAGTATGGTTATTATAGTAAACATCTCACACTCTTATTAATTCTGTTCTAGAATTGAAGTGTGGGTCCGAACCTTACAATCCCCAGAAAGAAATCTGTTGCTCAGGGAATCTGCATAAGAAGGCATCAGCACTTACTAAGGTATTGCTTTTTGACCTAAAGATTTGCTCTGCAGGAATAGAAATTCCAATAAATTGGAGATTTCTCTGAACACTATGATTTTCAGTAAAATGTGCTTATGAAGTATTTTGAGAAATTGCAGTATACAGTATTCAAAAACTCTGCATACATTAACCTACTATGTTTACCTGTGTCCTTCAGTGCTGTAGCAAAGATGTTTACACTCTGTCAGATGACAATGTGCTGTGCTGTAATGGAATCATTCATCTCAATGTGCCTGAGCAGTCAGAGTGTGTTGGAGGTGTTATATATACTCCACCAAACACTATTTGCCAAATGTCTGCTCGTCCCCGTCTTGGTGAGCACTGCTGTGGAGGACAAACCTTCAATCCTCGCACACATATTTGCTGTAACGGACACAGGTAGGCCCACAAATACAAAACTTTGATTTGCGTGTGTGTGCACTTGGATGGGATAAATGCAGAGCAAAAATTCAGAGTATAGGACACCATACTTGCAGGGCCGGATTAACGTAAGGGCTAGTCAGGGCTGAAGCCCCAGGGCCCAAAGAATGGAGAGGACCTGTGATTGGCTGTGGTGGAAAGGAATAGTAGACCTTGATTGATTGGCGATCGGGAGCACCCGAACTTTTCCAGGTGGACCGATTGCCGAAACCCACCACGCCCACACATTTAGCGCTGTTATTAAGCCCAAAGTATACTTTGTTTTTTTTATGCATACGTTAGCCCTCGACAGGTGCTCAACACATGCACACTAGAAAGATTCTTCCTTTCCAGTGTCTGTGCTATTATTCTCCAAAAAGTATGAGCGATATAAATGTATTTGTACTCGTTTACACTAGTGTTGTTATCTATTAATCGCCACGGCTTTACTGGAGCTCATGGGAAACAAACACCAAAAGCCAATGAAACGGCACTACTTGATTAAACCATGCAGCTTGCCGCTTTTGCCGCTCTATTGAAGTGATAACCAACGCTTTATCCATTTGAATTCGACACACGCCACTTATAACATTATATGTGAACAATAAAGGCTTTTTAGCTAGCCAGATTAAAAAGATTGACATATTATGCCCCTTTTTACAATATGTAATATAAGTCTCTGGTGTCCCCAGAATGTGTCTGTGAAGTTCCAGCTCAAAATACTCCACAGATCATTTATTATAACATTTGTTATATAACAAAATGCCTATTTTGAGTGGAAGCAGAAACACTGTTTTTCGTGCCTGTCTCTTTAAATGCAAATGAGCTGCTGCTCACTTTATTCCAGTTTAAATGGATTAAAATTAATATACAGAGTAAATCCTTTTCACTGAGCGTGTTAAAAATAAGTTTGAAAAGTTGTGGGAAGCATGTAGTGATGGGAAGTCCGTTTTTCCGCTAACCGGTTCTTTCGGACAGTGCGTTTCAATGAACCGGTTCAAAAAACGGTTATTTTACGCCCTAACGTAATGACGTCATTTGCGATGATGTAATGAAATCAAGTCTATCGTCCCGGGCCGTGATGAAAAACTATAATTACAGTACAGGTATTTAATAAATCCCTTATTCCTATTAAACACACGGACAGAAAGCTGCTGTCACAGCATGTGAGTACTAAACTCTCATTCACACACAAGTTTACGTTAAAAACACACACGAGTTACGAAAACAGTCAGTTATGTCTGTGAAGGTAAACTGCTGGGAAAGAAATTGCATGTTTATTTTAGATCTGTGTGGCAGCAGCAGTAAATAAATCAATAAATCCACTGCTCTCTTGTCTCCTCTGAGGCTGGGACTCTAAACAGTGTTCTGTGCTCGTCTGTGCAGCCAAAGACAGAACAGTTAGCATGTTTTGCTCAAATTTTCGCCATAGCATTAGAACTGGTACACCGTTGTCTCTTGCGAAATCAAAATGACTGCGCCGTGGGTGTAAATTTACAGATTAAGGGGTGGTAATATTATAATAAGATCCTCCTTCTACGTCACAGTGCAATCTGAGCAGCTCATTTTTTCACAAGCTTGCAGAGAAAGATACTTGCGGCAGGTCCACACTCGGTGTAGTTGTGTGTATTTACCTTCGGCCCGAGTTCGTTTTATCACAAACGGGCCGCTGCTAGAATGAAGGAAATCAGCCGACTGAGAGAAAGATTTGGCGGTTAAATCCTAAGGAGGTTTCGGCAGGCACAGTTTTCAAGAGGAATGCTTCAGCTGCAAAAGGTAATTAATTAAATATATTTGACGTACAATCTAGTGTTGTTTGATGTTTTAAATGTCACGAAGAGTAACGTTATAGTTTTTAGATGTTTCTGTTAGAAGGTTTGCGATGATAACATAATGTCAGAAAAACCATTCGGTTCGGAGATGGAGTGTTGATAAGTACGGCCTCTTCAGAGACGGCTCAATCTCGGCATCGGCGAGAAGATAATGGGCCAGAGCCGTGCCGACTCTACAAAACACCTCTGGCTGACAGACGGCTTTTTCTCTATGGGCCGATCTCGGCTGAAAGCAGTTATACTTGCGGCAGGTCCACACTCGGTGTAGTTGTGTGTATTTACCTTTGGCCCGAGATCGTTTTATCACAGACGGGCCGCTGCTAATGAAGGAGATCAGCTGGCTGAGAAAGAGGAGAGTTCGGTGGGCACAGTTTTTAAGAGGAATGGACCTTTTTCACATTTCCGGGTTTCTCAGCAGCGGAAGTCGTCATTTTAAATGTCACGAAGAGTAACGTTATAGTTTTTAGATGTTTCTGTTAGAAGGTTTGCGATGATAACATAATGTCAGAAAAACCATTCGGTTCGGAGATGGAGTGTTGATAAGTACGGCCTCTTCAGAGATTAGAAGAAACTTTATGTAATTTTTTTTAATAGAAAAAACTATTGAGCTGTATCCAGTGCACTATAATGTCAACTAATGAAATTATATTGAGTTATATTCCAGTTTGCTAAAAATTCAGTCATCGATTCGTCTTTTTTAACGAGTGATTGCTTTTGAATCATATCGGACTGCGCTGGTGGCGCCTAAAATATTTATACTGGTGGCTCTGTCTGATTTAATTCACTTAACCTTTAAAAAGAGTCATTTTTTTGTAAATGAAACTACACTGAGCACGCTGTTGTAGCGTTACACCCGATAAGACAATTCAATATATGCAATCTGAATTTAATAATAATATTTATTTTGTGGTAACACTGCCCGTGGGGGAGCTCTGACACGGAAAAGCACTATAGATACGTAAGAGAAAGGCGTAAAATGTAAGTGCATCTTCTTTTGTTCTTGAATGGAGGCCTAATCTGTCTACTGCACTAGAGCATTTTTAGAGTGAACGAAAACTTTTAAAGCATATATGCCATATAATGTGATTAAAATCATACTTAACATATTTTACTACTGTGGGAATTGGATTATTATGAGCAAACAAATTTAAAAGTTTAATCTAAACGCACTTTATAATCTTGACATTATTATTATTTTTTTTTTTCACAGAAATTCTGAACTGCTGCATGAACTCGTGCATGAACATTCATCAAACATATAAGGTGCGAATCTGGGTCTGGTCCTAATCCTAATGCTTAAGATTTAACAATTACCTTACAATATATAGTTATGCATATATTCCTATATTTCAAGGCTGCAATTTGGAAAAACCTTCAGGCTAATGCTGCTGAAATGAAGGTCAAGGGGACCATGAAGAGGTGACACCAACTGGCAGATCATACCGTTTTTCAGGAGGCAGGCACACTGTGAGTTCAAAGGGGTCATATGATGCTGCTAAAAAGAACATTATTTTGTGTATTTGGTGTAATGAAATGTGCTTATGTGGTTTAAAGTTTAAAAAACACATTATTTTCCACATACTGTACATTATTGTTTGTTTGCTATGCCCCGCCTTTTTG